AAAAAAAAAAAACAGAATGGTGAAGGTGACCTACATATGTATATATAACATAATGAGGTTGAGGATTGGAATTGGACCTTTTTTATCACTTGTATCAACTTTATACACACAACAAATCAGAAGAATTTCAAAATTTCTTTACTAATTTTATAGTTATATTTCTACAAATATGAAATTTACATCTGCTAAGACGACAAAAATAATACCTATTTTAAAAATATAGTAAAAATACGTAATATTTGAAAATTAAGTATTATTAATGAAATAATTCATCAAAATATTTAAAGATAATAGATTTTTTATAAAGAATGTTATTTACTTTTGGTTCTTCAGAGAAAGAAAGAATATAGAATTGTTTTTATTCTGATATCCTTTAACATTCTATAAAATTATATAAAATATTACTTGTATCCCTTTGCATTTTACGCATTTATACACCCTAAGCATCTTTATTAACATTTTATATTTTATATCTAATATATGAAATTATATATTAGTTTTAATATTTAAATAATTTTTAAAGCTTACTATCTTTTTAAGTACTTTTTTGTGGTCTACTGCCAAAAATAACACTTCCTACTCTCACATTTGTACTGCCAAGTTCAATCTAGAATAGAAAATAATATTTACATATTTATAAAGATATAAAATCTATCAACAGTCTTATTCACAAATAGATCCTATTGGAAAAACTTACTGCATGTTCATAATCACTAGACATTCCCATTGATAATTCTATATTTTTAATATCAATTCCTACTTCCTCGTGTACCTTTTCTCTACATTTTATCAAACAAAGAAAATCAGGATTTGGACCATTCGCAACATCATATCCAAACATTCCTATTGTCATAAGACCCATGAATTTCAAATTGGGACAATTATTTAGAATATGTTTTACAAGATCTGATACTTTTACAATATCGCAACCATGTTTTTCTGCAATTACAGTTTTTATATAAATTTATTTAAACTAAAAATTATTTTATGTAATTTATAAAGCACAAATTTTAATAACTAGTTTGTTACCTTTCTCTTGACTCGTGTTAACTTGTACCATGATACTTAATTTGCTATCATCATTTCTTCGAAATCTTGACCATGAATTATTAAGTGCATTTGCAAGTCTGTCATCATCAACAGTTTCTATCACATACAAATTTGGTACATTTAAAACCTTGTTGACTTTATTCCTTTGTAAATTGCCTATAAAATGCCATTGAATCTCCTTGCATTTTTCAAGAATCTGTGAATTTGAAGATTTTTCCACTAACTCGTTAACATAATTTTCACCAAAGTGTCTTTGACCAGCTTCATAAGCAGATAATATAGATTCTATGGTTTGCAACTTGCTAACAGCTACCAATCGTGGTTCATAATATCGATGTTCCTGCAAAAATAAATAATCTTTTTTAATTCACGTGGTTTATCTTTCTGTAATGTTCTTTCTATTACTAATAATAAACATTTTTTTTTTTAACATATAGAAAAGAATACCGATGCTCTGTTTGTGGCAGCAGCCTGTATCTTATCATAAACTAATCTCAAATTCGTTGCTACTTCTGCCATATTATTTCTAAATAACACTGCCATAAATTATTTATATTGTCTCCTAATTGTCTTCTAATCAGTGGCTATCGATGACACGATATAAACTACTTTATTCATCTAACGTTTGTGGTGCACGGTATAATTTTTCTGGATTTTTCATGCTAGATTGCATGCAAGACACCTTGCTAGCTCATGTACTGATTATCTTGCTAAAAACGCTGCGTGCACAGCTGCGTGCCAGCTGCGTGCTTCTGTACCTGCTAGCTGCATCTTATAGGTCTAGTTAGAAATGCAGTCATTATTCTGATTCGAAAAAATGATATTTTCCCAATAACATGAGTTTATTCTTTGCATAACTAAGAAAATTGCTATAAAGCCCGATTTTGTAATTTGACTTTTTAAAATGTATAATAAATAAAACGGTCTCGTAGTCAATTGCACTTGTAATATCAAGAAACCAATGTCTATTTCAATTAATAAAATTTTATGTTAATTTATTTTCTCAAAAAATCGCGTTGCTTTTACGCGATTTTGCTGCCGCTCTTGAAAATATTGCGACTATAACGTGATTGTCTTCAGTGTTTGAACTGTAATGTTGAAAATACAAATTTGTAGTTCACCTCAATTCCGATAAGCGTCTCCATAATCTCTTCTTTTTTCCTTAGCACGTAATAGCATTATTCTACCGAATATATTATCGAAGTCTGAAAAGTGATACTCTGGTCGACAAGGTTGATGATTATTGAAGCACGTTTGTTTTTAATTCCGATAGATTTTGTGAGAAAAAAACGTTAAGAGAAACCTTGTGCGGATTGCTGTCTTCAAATTATCGCCGACTTCTTCAAACCATTTTGTTTTTGCTTTATATCAGTGAATAGCGGATATATAACAATGGTAAGCAAAATTGTGTTTTGACTGCTTATAAAAGTTTTTAACCTTATTTTTATTTTATGTTATTTGATTTTAGTCTCATACAATACTATTAGTACAGCCTGGCCTCAGGCCTGAAACAAGAACATATTCAGATTATGAAAGCGTTAATGAATGTATGGAAGGTAATTTTACATTGTAATTTGCGGTTACACAGCATTATAAATACATAGTTATTTATCAGTGTTTTTTTTTTATTTTGCAGGTGTTTGTAAAATTTATGAAGAGCATTTGAAGAGACGAAATCCGAATACTCCAACTATTACATACGACATCAGCCAATTATTTGATTTTGTTGACCAGTTAACAGATTTATCATGTCTTGTATATCAAAAATCAACAAATACTTATGCTCCGTACAATAAGGATTGGATCAAAGAAAAGATTTATGTATTATTGCGTAGAGCTGCAGGACATAGCGAGTAATTAATGTATAAGAATAAATACGTTTACTTTTATATATAAGATAATTTTAAGTATCTACATCACATGTATCTACTACATCATTTGTAATCAATTTACAATTTGCCATATTTCATTATTTTCATATAATATTGTATGCTTTTCTCTTTTTACTTAAAATATACTGTTCATTTTGCACAGTTAATATTTATAAGTAATATATTCATACTATTTTTCTAGCATTTTAAATATATGGCAAATATGTATGTATTGTCTGCAGATTCATTACTATGAGAGATTCAAGTGTTTTTTAATTTTATCGACATTAAAAAGTAGCAAGTATTCTAAAGAAAACAAAGATTTTTATTTTTAGGTAAATTATAAATATGTAAGGTATGTGTATTTTAGATGTAAGATGTTCTGAAATGTACTTTATAAATATATGACTTTATTTGTACAATGTTTTATTTGAGCTTAATTGACAAATTACTATAAGTGTTTGTATTAAAGTTTAATAAGACTTTTGTAATGGATTCTATAAATAAAAAAAGGATAAACGCATATTTAAAACTATTGGATTACTTGGAGTTAATAGTGCTTATTGATTGCATTCATATTCAAATTCAAATGAGATGTAATACCAGAAGTGAGAGTATCAATTTGGATCACTCATAAGATGGCATTGAAAAAGATATACATGAAAATATGTTGCGCTTTTATGAGACATGAGACTTTCCACTCTATCTAATATTCTTTGATTCTATAGCAATTGATTAAAACTGATTTTGAAGTGAACTTGAAAAACTGCATATTTTGGAATCTCAAAAGAAAGAAAGAAGTCATATATTCGGAGACGTCTCTCACTCGTGTGTATAAAGGCCGGAGCATAGTTTTTACATAAGGCATAACGCATAAGGGAATCAACCAATCAGAGTCCTTTATTTCATTCCCACTTCTCATTCTGCGGATCTCTGATTGGTTGATCTTTATTAAGTCTGTCTCACTCTCTCTTGCAACTACATGGTTACTTCTTTTTTAGTATTGGATGGTATAGTGAAATCTGATGGTGCCTAGTGTTAACCAATGAGTAAGCACAACGATTATTGTAAATCATAGCTAAGGTCACATAAAGCTTTCATTCAAACCAGCAATAATTTTGTAAAGTAGCAAGAAGGGAAGAGAAAAGAGAAAGGGAAGAGAAAATAGAGTAAGCGTCGCATCAAGTGCTCAATCGAAACTTGTGATAAGGTTATTTCTTAAAATCTATTTATATGTAATATTTATTATTATAAGATTGTTGTGTATATGCGCCACTCAGAAAAATGAAGCATGGCAGTTTTGTTTGTGATCTTTTGTGAAGTTTAAAACGTTAAATAATCGTGGATTTTGAGAATTGCTTATACAAACATATTCTGTAATTTCGTTCGAACTCGTTCATTTTTCGCAATTCTTTACGAATCGATGTGTTATGCGTTTTGATATTAATACATAATGTTATATTCAAGTAGTAAATCCTATGTTTCTTTCAGGTTATGTTATCTGTGTTTAGTGGTTAGCAATGACTGTTGCGTTGTCATATAATTTCACAAGTTTTTTTATTTATAAATGGGACGCATATTGTTTTTCATGAATTTTTAGCAGGATTATCATTGGCGGTTTCATCTTTTACTTATAAAAATATTTATATATTTATCAAATTTATGTACAATTATATAATTTTTATAAAAGTGTATTTAAGATGTGTGTTTATATTTCTACTTAAAGAGAACAACAGAAAATGGCACAGAGATTTCCTGTACCAAACACAGGAAGTAATGGACCGCCTCCTCAACGATATCCACCGTCATCGGTACCGCCGAATTTACGCCAGTACTCTGGGCCTAATTTCCCAGTAAACATATATTTTTTAATTATCAATAGTATATAAAACATAGACTAAAATTATCAATTTTTTAATAATTAATAGTATATAAAACATAGACTAACTTTAAATATTTAAACAAAATTGATTACTTATAATAATTGTATAATTATGAAATATATTGTATAATGTATGAAAAAATTATATACATAAATAATTGATACGAATACATTTTTGCTATAGATGCAGCAGAGATCTGGATTTACCCCACCGCCACAAATGGGTAATGCAGGACCTGGTCCAGGAGGAATAATGAGACCAAACCAGCCTTACACCAACATGCGCCAAGGTCCAATGCCAACTCCACCTGTTGGTAAAAGAAGTGCAGATCAACGTATTCCTATGTCACAGCAAAAACCGTAAGTATAATGATTATCAAGAGAATTTTATAACAAATTGTTCTTATTTATACATGTAAATTTTGTATATCTGTTTTAATAAGAATGTATTTTTTAAACAATTAGATGCTTTTTCTATTTTATTGAGATATTTTTGCATATTTAATCTTATTTTGTTATATTTTTCTATTTTTTTTCTATTTTTATCTAATCTATATTTATAACTAGCAATATTTTAGTAGACTTGAAATAAGTTTTATCAGGAATAATCATTGCATCCCAAGGCTTACAAAATTATTTATAATTTCTGTATCTATGATTTTCGAATAAACTCATTTAGGTATTTTTGGAACAGTGATTTTTCACATTCCACATCAAAGAAAAAGAAGAAATTAGCAGATAAAATACTGCCTCAGAAAGTGCGCGACTTGGTACCAGAATCACAAGCTTATATGGACTTGCTTGCTTTCGAGAGAAAATTGGACGCGACTATTATGCGAAAACGTCTTGATATTCAGGAAGCTTTAAAGCGCCCAATGAAACAGAAACGAAAATTACGCATTTTTATTTCGAACACATTTTATCCAGCTAAAGAAGCAGGTGAAGGAGAAGAAGGATCTGTAGCATCTTGGGAGCTTAGAGTCGAAGGACGTCTCTTGGACGATACTAAAAATGATCCGAATAAGGTAGAATGTTACATCGAAATAATCGAACTAGGTTTAGTAGTTTTATCGTTTAATATTAAAGGTAATTTTGCATAAAGATATTCAATGGCAATAAGTTTTTGTGATTTCTGCAGGTGAAACGGAAGTTCTCATCGTTTTTCAAAAGTTTAGTAATAGAGCTGGACAAAGATCTGTATGGTCCTGACAATCATTTGGTCGAGTGGCATCGTACATTGACTACTCAGGAAACTGACGGATTTCAAGTTAAGAGACCGGGTGACAAGAATGTTCGTTGTACAATTCTACTGCTTCTTGATTATCAGCCGTTGCAGGTATTCTTTTTGTACAAGATTAAGCATTATCATAAATTAATCTTGTTCCACTGTTAATTTAAAATTTGATTTTCATTCATCGTCTTCCAGTTTAAATTGGATCCGAGATTGGCGCGCTTGTTGGGCGTGCACACACAGACGCGGCCTGTTATCATATCTGCGCTTTGGCAATACATAAAGACACACAAACTCCAGGACAGTCACGAAAGAGAATTTATTAACTGTGATAAGTACTTAGAACAAATATTTGCTTGTCCGCGAATGAAATTTGCCGAAATACCACAACGATTGAACCCATTGCTGCATCCACCTGATCCTATTGTGATAAATCACGTTATAAGCGTGGAAGGTAGGCAAAGTACTTTTATTTCTTACAGATATTACTGTGCCGAAGATAAAGATGTGCAAATTAAATATAATTAATAATATTAATTACTCTTTAAAACTGATTGTACGAATATTTCATACGTAAATTTATATCATTCAGGCACGGAAACAAAGCAGACTGCATGCTACGACATCGATGTAGAAGTTGATGACACATTGAAGACGCAAATGAACAATTTCTTATTATCTACTGCGAGCCAGCAAGAAATCCAAAGTCTGGATAACAAGATTCACGAGACCGTCGAAACTATTAATCAATTGAAAACAAATCGTGAATTCTTTTTAAGTTTTGCTAAAGACCCGCAACAATTTATCAACAAGTGGATTATCTCTCAGACTAGAGATTTGAAAACCATGACGGATGTCGTTGGCAATCCTGAAGAAGAACGGAGAGCTGAATTTTATTATCAACCCTGGGCACAGGAAGCCGTGTGTCGTTACTTCTACACAAAAGTGCAGCAAAAACGGGCAGAATTGGAACAAGCGCTCGGTATCAGAAATTCATAAAACAATCTAGATTATATATATTTCATAAATTTATCATAAAGCTATGTAAAATATTCAATAGATGTTTGCCATTATACTACATGCAACACACAGTACTATTATATACACTCTTAAAACATATATTTGTAATATTAATATAGAATACACGAAAATAAAATTGCATTTATCTATTTCGAAAAATGAATTGTATGTGAAAATTAAAATACAATAGATTCCTTTTTTATATACGTATCACAGATGTATCACAAATCTTGATCAAATTCATTTAAAGAAAATAATTGACTTTAAACTGATAAATATATCAACTTTTTTAAATATAAGTGCTTCTTTATTACGACATTCAACGTGTTTCGGTATAGTATTCAGTTTATTTTTGTACTCACTGGATTAGCATATATAAAATAATCATATTAGGAGCTCAGTCTTTATGGCAATTTATTTCTTATTGAAATGCAATATTTTTTTTGTATAAATAAGGACAATTACACGTTATTTTCCATACCGTTGTACACATTTACTATATCTCTCTAATAGATATGCGAAATCTTTCACTGAAATACTAACGTACAGCGGCAGCATTCTGAAAAAGTTTAACGATTAGTATAATGAAACTAAACACCAGACTTGACAAATATTGATAAATATTCTTGTAGTCTTACAAAAATTCTGTCGTTCTTGTGTGCCACGGTAGAAGACCATGCGTGGAACAAGTGTAACCATATATTAAAGCGAGATCGGGATCAGGCATCCCATTTATATGCAACTTTTCAGTGATTAGTTGGTCTGTGATTTTTTCCGGATTAAGATTGCCGGAAGATACAGCCTTTGCCAATGACTGCGTTAACGTTACTATTTTCCCTTTATTATCTACATCAGATAGTAACGATACATTTATTCTTGATCTGTTGTCTGTAATTAAAACAATGTAGTTAGTAATATTTTCTTAAAACAATTCTTTTTGTTGCAGCTTTATGTGGTATAAAACATGAGTTTAAAACTTCAAAAATGTACCATTTTAGAAAAGATAAAAAAATGCTAAATTATATAATTCAAACATTTTATCTATAATACATTATATAACATATAAGTAGCCTGCATTCTTTCTGCTCAACATTTCTGTTATCATTTTGTATAACTATAAATGATAAGATACATTGTGTACATTAACATTGCAAAGTCATCAATTTAAAAAATTAAATTTTCTTGAATATAATTCAAGTAGTTATCTGAGAAAAAAAGTGTTATACCAGTTATTCCATTTTGACTAGGTGCCTTTGTATATGAATTCCAAATAATATTTTCTACTAGATCAGGCCGCTTTTTCTCAAATTCTTCTTTAAGGTTAGTTTCATTTCTCTTCAAAAAACCTGTAAAATCAATATAAATTATATGAACTCAGATCTTTGCATAGCAATTATTCACATTCCTTAATAGAAAAAGATATGTAATTTTATGATTTATTTACATTTGTACTGAAATATATTTAAATTATTTTTGTTTCAGTTATGACGACAATTAAATTTGCACAAAATTGTGCTTCTCTCATTTTATATATCGAAACATATATAATTGAACTTCATAACATTAACATCGTTGTATGCAATAATTAATGTGTTAAAGCATATATGACTCATTTTTCATAAATATCATATAATTATGATTTAAAATATACTATACGTTGAATTATAATACACTCACCAGCATAAAATTCGATCCATAGATTAATTTTATCTAATTAGCTTAAATTCATTTTTTTAATTAGAAGATATTTTTTGTTCAGAGTAATTTCTTTGACAAAACTAATCGTGATTATTTAAACTACAAGTTTATTTCCGTTCATATAATAATGAAGCAGATTTGACTATGTTCCTTTAAGAAATAACTTTGCTAAAAATTTGATGAATCGAATTTTATGCCGATGAGTATGCACAAAAAAACTTCAACACTGTTGCAGTGACAAGACTTGCATGAAGAATTTGCAAATTTATTTTATGTGCATTTGAAATGTATATATAAGTAATTCATGAATAAGTAAAATAAATAAGTAAATTTAATTTTGTAGTTCACATATGTTGTATAAATATTTATATGAATTATCACAGAAGCTTCTCAATTGAATAAAAGCAGAAAGGTTGTTTGAATAATAATAAAATAGACAAATGAAAAAATTACTAATGTCATAGTAATAAAGGAATAATCTGTATGATGTAATAGGAATAATTCTTATGAAATAAAATAATTGCTAAAAGTATAGTTTATCAAGTAATTAAATAGTACTCTATTGTAAAATGCAATATTTTGTTACAACAATTGACATAATATAATTGTTTTTTCAATTAATTATAATAGTTTATTTATATTATTTTATCATGATATTATTGTTAAATAATGTGAAAACAATTCTATTTTGTGTAATTTTTTAATTATAACATCAAATTTATAGAGAACTAACAACGTAACATGTATAAATAATATAAACTTTTTCAATTTGCAACATAATAGTCGCATTAACAAGTATAATTGCTCCAAGATATTGCATAAGTTGGAATATGGTAATGCATCATGATTGTCAAGATTCACACTTTGCATGGATAAACACATTAACTGCAACATAAGCACATCCATTCACACAAAACAAGGCAATATTTTTTTTATAAATTTTCACATATAGATATAATGATACCAAATCATTTTTTTACCATTACGGTCAAAGAAGCTGATGTAAGGTATATCAAGTGTAATGCACCATCCAATTATACGCACACAGTCCAGAACCGACTCGTCGCATAGTCCAAGCACGATCACCACGTGTCGCGGTATCTTCTTGGTTTTCGCGAGCGTACGAACGAGCGCGTCGAGCTCCGTCGTCGTGCTCGTGGTGGTGGTGCACCAGAGATCCGTACACTTGCGATGCACCGCAGTGCAGGCGTAGCAAATCACGATATACAAGCTATGTAAAAAGTGCGCGAATACCAATATTGTATGCAGAAATGTGTACATACTGTTTGCGCGCGATTACGTGTCGATATAGCATAATCGCGTACGGCGCTGGAGAATAATAAGCGCTCGTGGTGTCACGAGACGACTCGTGCTCCCTGCAACTGATCGTACAGCACAGTGGCCGCTATGTGTCGCAAATAGCAGGCGCAAATTTTTCACACACGTGTATGCTAGTGTTCTTTTAATCATATGACTCCAGAGCATCGATCATGTAATTTTTCCCTAGGAGCGGCTCCTGGGGGTTGATTCTGTATCATGCAATGTAATGAAAATTACAAAAGTGATCAAATTTACTAAAGTATCTATGATCTTATTGGTAAATAGCATAGTAAATTGGCTCACTTTTGTAATTTTCACTACATTGCATGATACACAATTGATCCCCAGCACACAGGATGGATAAAAGGTAACGCGGTAGCCATCAACTGACAACTTTTCCATAAGAGCGAAAGATTGATTGGCTACCGCGTCGCTTCTTGTCGCGCGTTAAGCCCGTATTAGACTACGCATAAAGATTGAAAATTAAAGATTGAAATTTGACCAATCGAAACAAAAGGAGCTAAAAATTCTTTGTTTTGATTGGTTCAATCTTCAATCTCAATCTTCAATGTGTAGTCTGATAAGGGCATTACCGCGTCCTGCGTGCACGAGTCATCAGTGTACACTTGTTGCACTTGTTGCACGGAAAGTGCAACGACAAAGCAACCTAATACGCGCAGATTGATGAAGCCATACCATTGGTTGTCGAGAAAATAGGCGCGCAAGTACAGCCAAAGTATCACGGAGCCATTAAATTCGTTTAAGTTCGACAGTTTTTGAACAGTTTCAAAGGACTGCTTTAAGAGCTGAATTGAATTCAAAGGTTAATGTTTTTTGCTTATGCAGTGAATAAATTTTACTAGAAGCAACGTGAAGATTAGGAAGTCAAATGCCATCCACGCGAACTCGTACAGGTGAGATGAAAAAGTATATATTTCGATGATTTTGATAGGATCAAAATGCAAGGTTATAAACTTTTTATAATTACTTACATTCTTGTATATTTTGTCATTGTGTGCGTTTGAAGAATTGAAAACTTAGATATTCTTCATCTTGATAGACTACCGGGCATTAATTAATCAAAAAGTCATTTTAATGATTGTTAATCAATATTAGATGAGTTTTATGTTTTTTTACAATTTTTTATTACGAAAAAAATCTTAAAGTAACTCGTTACTTTGCAGCAAAAGTGGAACAATCTGTTACCACCAGATCTAGGGCGCAAAAGAGAAATAATGTGACTGGAGAGGTGACTAAATCGGCAGAGAAAATTGGACAACGAAAGAGAAAAGGGAAGTCTTCTAGTGTTAAAGAAAAATTGGAAAGTAATATTGAACAAAATGTTAAAAAAGATTCACTGGATACGAGAAAAACATTTAGCAAATCTGTAAAGAAACAAGTTTCTCATCGGAGACTTAATTTAGAGACAGAACTTGATGTTAAATCTGTAGCACAAGAAAATAAAAACACAGATTTCAAGCAATTAGTCACAGTATCAAATGACAGGCGTAGCAGTAATATCTCTATGAGAGAATTTGTCACAAATGACATTTCTCAATCTAGTATGTTGGGATCTATAAATTCAAACAAAAAATATCGAAGAAAAATGATTGAAGCAGATGTAAAAACATCACCTATTACAGTTACTCCTAAAAACACTCCTCCTAAGCTCAGTCTAACTCCTCACAGATCCAAGAAAACACCAAAGAAATCACCAATTTCCTTAGGTTCTCCAAAGACCCATTCCCTAGCTGTTCCAAAATTACTTAAAAGTCCAAGAAAGTTGTCTCTCATTGCTGTATCTGAGGAGAATACAAACAAGATTGATAATGAAAATAGGAAATCACAAAGAACCAAAAAAGACGGGTTTAGCAATATTCCTATATCCAATAAAAGTTTATTACCAGTAGCAAAAAATAAACACAAGAAGTCAAGTATAAATTTGAAAGCAATTACAGGTAGATTTTCGAAATCTCCAAAAATAGTATTAAAGTCTCCAAAATCGAAGAAATCAAAATCATCGAAATTGAAGTTGTTATTTCCATCTCAAGGTAGAAAAAGTTTGTTGAAGACTGTGTCTATTGCAAATACTAGTTTTATGTCAGATCTTGATAAAGAAAAAAATATATTAGCAATGAAACATCGATTATTAAAGAGGACAAGATTAAAGAATATATTGACAGCTTCACAAGTGAAAGATGTATTAACAGAACCCATAGTGTTATTGGAGAGGCTACCATTTGAAATTTTACAAAATATGCTAACAATTGCTAGAGAGACTAAATCAGATACCAAATCTTTAATCAACACAGGGAGCAGCTTTAAGAAATCAATATCGAGAACTCGAATGAGATCAGATGTGTCTACTAAACGAAATTCAAGCATTAATTTAAGGAATAGTAATGAAAGATCTGTTAATAATGTATCACTAAGAATTAAACATAACACATCAATACAAGAGAAAGACAGATCCATATCCTTAATGTCATCCACTCCACGAGAGAGAAAAAAGTTGTCAATGGACGTGAGCTTGATATCAAATACATCCATTGTATCTGCAGCTAATACATCTCGTAGCTCAAAACGGAGGAATCAATCAAATGTGCAATTGTGTAGCATGAATAATAGTAAAACTATTGAAAATGTATCTCAATATTCTCTATTTGATGTTAGTGATATTAGTCAGTCTCATCTTTCAAATGCCATGGAATGGGATGTTATTTTTGACAAAAATTCTGTGATGATGCAAGGAAATAAAACGAATGATACTTATGAACTAGAACAGCCACAGACACTAAGTCTGCGACAGATGATTAGGAAACGTTCTTCAATGGATGCAAATTTAAGCTCGAAAGAAGATGTTAAGAGAGCTAAAGTACATTTTGAAAATCTGATATCTGACAAAAGTACGTGTAAGTCAACTAATAAACCAACTAAATCGCAGTCACATAATGTAAGCTTACAAAGAAATAATATGAATTCAGCACACAAACTAAGGAAAATTGAAACTCCAAAGTTTAATCGAAACTCGTTGGTTTCTCCTGTCAAGACAAAATCAAGTCTAAAAGCAAATAGAGTAACATCAAAAATACAATTGAATAAAAATCAAATCACACCAAAAAATTTTGCATCTATCGAAAAGAAATCAGGTAAAATAAACATTTGCTTATGCCATGTGCTTATTTCGATATTTTGTTTACATTCTAAGAAATGTAAATTTATCTATAGCGAAGAAATCATCAACAAAGAAAGTACCAAATTTCGGAAGAATACACGAAAAAATGTTTGCCAAGTCAGAATCGCTCCTAGATGCGAAGAAGCGCTTGGAAAGCAGACACTTGGCATTTAGTAATTTGACAATATTATTTTTCGAACATTAACAATTCTGCAATATTTTCTTTTACTCTTATATAAATTATTTTTACAGCTGCGGATAAAGCTTTCTCAAAAGTAGATGTGAAGAAGGATGAAAAGAAACCATTACCAACTGACACAAAGGATGGTACTCACAACAGATTCGGCTTTAAATTGAGAAAGGCCGAAGCTACGCATATAATATTGAAAAAACAAACTGTTTTCTCAAGGTATATCAAATCAACTGGAAAATTAATTGGAAAAATAATTATCCACAAACACAACTCAACCATATTATAAGCTTATTTTATTAAAATAATTTAAATTTTATTAAATGTCACTGAAAAATATTAATAAATACTGATAAAAGAACTGATAAAATATTGAAAAATATTGATAAATACTGATAAAAGAACTGATTTAAATCTATATATATAAATCTATATATACAAGCATACAAAATTTTAAAATAATTTTATATAAAATTTGATGTGACACTTGCAGACAAAAACAACAACATGAAACACGGATGATGCTGAAAGGTGTACGCACAAATCGACGTTTTGAACTGCAAATGAAGGCTCGCAATGTAAATGCATAAGTATCTGTACTTTATATAATATCTGTATTTTGATCTTTAAATAATATAATTTAATATAAATATTTTACTCACAAAGTATAAAAATATTTTTATTAATTTGTGTATTAATATCAAAACTTTAGAAAGATTTTCAAGAAATGCATTAAGTACACTGCTGTACACTTAACTAATTTATATGAATGTTCAGGAAATATATTAAAAATTCAGGAACGTATGTATCATATACTGTCTTTATATTTGTCTTGAAAAGATTAAAATAATTTCTTTTACGTATGAAAATAATTTATCGATCTGTAGAAAGATATTTGTTAAGTGAATTTATATAGCAAGATTATATTTGTAATCAGTCTACTTTCTTTTTTTTTCTTTTAAGTATAGGAACATTTTTGAATTATTAACTTGATTGATTTATATTAGTTTATGGAAAAACAAATTTAGTACTTGATATCGAATAAAATATTTCTATAAAAACGAGTTTTTTAATGAATTTTTGAGTTATTAATTATTTTTGAATATCAAAATTTCAATAAGTCAATTAAAAATTAACTTACTGAGCTTTCATAATTAGCACTAAGAAATATTGTTTAACTTATTTTTCTAATTAATATTTATTATTAAACTTCATTAATATTAAGAATTATGACAAATAACTTTTATATATAAAATTGTAATTAATAAAGATGTTCGAACCTAGCAAATAATCTATTTAAACTCGCAATTATTATTATTAAAACTTGCAATCTTAAAGAATAAATTAAAAATTATATTAAAAAATTGATTCTGCATATCTATGTATATCTACATGATATTTGAGGAATGTTTATTAATATAAATAACGTGCAATAACTTCTACAAAATAATTTTTTAGATGTTATTCATTGCAAGAAAAGATTTAATATTATTAATGGAGAGAAGGAAGAAATATATAAACAAGTACGTGAATACATGCGCATAAATTCTTACTTAGCGCGATTTCTCTAGTTTTTTTTGTGCCCAGGTGACGCACATAACTAAGGCACTACGGTTACGTTCGGTTTGGGCGCTTAGGCTGAATTCCCACTGAGTGCGTCGCGTCACGCGTCACCAATCAAAACACACATTTCATATATGTGTATTAGAGACCCTTAAAAGAGAGACTCGCCAACTCGTCACGTGACTGTTAGTGGACTCTGATTGGCTGGTGTATGGATTGCACATTTGTGCCCCGTGTGCACCATAAAGCTACACTGAACTACACTATGAATACCGGCCATAGTGTAGTTCAGTGTAGCTTTATGGTGCACACGGGGCACAAATGTGCAAAAATTGCACATTTACTGCAAATTGCACTACACTATGGCCGGTATTCATAGTGTAGTTCAGTGTAGCTTTATGGTGCACACGGGGCACAAATGTGCAATCCATACACCAGCCAATCAGAGTCCACTAACAGTCACGTGACGAGTTGGCGAGTCTCTCTTTTTAGGGTCTCTAATGTGTATAATATGTATTATACAACACATATAAAATATGTGTTTTGATTGGATGACGCGTGACGCGACGCGCTCAGTGGGAATTCGGCCTTAGGGTGCCATCACATACAGCCCGTAATCCGTAATCCGCACCGGAAGTCCGCAAAAGTTACTAGGTATTTCGTCCGTAACGTTACGTGTATTTTTATCTCCTTGTGTCCCAAGGAGCCGTAAATACAGACCACGGTGTAAGAATATAAGGTGATTTCACGACCATTGTATTCTATCAAAAAATCTGTGATCAAGGGTGTTTACGATAATTCAAGTTCGAGTTAGTTTCACTAGGACCGACAATGAGATATACATAACCATCTAGAACCTTTATGATTCATGACAACTCGACGCTGTCTTGTATTGCTTGAGTTAAATTCATTGAATTTGTTGAGTTTAATAAATATAATTATATACATATATATATAATTATATCTATTAAAGAGGTATACCAACATATATACCAACACTATTTGTTTCTTTCATAGACTGATTTGCAGTTAACTATTTTTATTACAATAAAATTTGCTCTATAAACTCAACAAATTCAATTAATTTAACTCAAGCAATACAAGACAGCGTTGAGTTGTCATAAATCATAAAGATTCTAGATGGTTATGTCTATCTCATTTTTCGGTCCTAGTGAAA